CGAGGGCTCCCTCCTCAGTCCCTGGTCATGCTTGGGGAGGTCGAGGGCTCCGTCCTCAGACCCTGGTCATGCTTGGGGAGGTCGAGGGCTCCCTCCTCAGACCCTGGTCATGCTTGGGGAGGTCGAGGGCTCCCTCCTAAGTCCCTGGTCATGCTTGGGGAGGTCGAGGGCTCCGTCCTCAGACCCTGGTCATGCTTGGGGAGGTCGAGGGCTCCCTCCTCAGACCCTGGTCATGCTTGGGGAGGTCGAGGGCTCCCTCCTAAGTCCCTGGTCATGCTTGGGGAGGTCGAGGGCTCCGTCCTCAGACCCTGGTCATGCTTGGGGAGGTCGAGGGCTTCCTCGTCAGTCCCTGGTCATGCTTGGGGAGGTCGAGGGCTCCCTCCTCAGTCCCTGGTCATGCTTGGGGAGGCCGAGGGCTCCCTCCTCAGACCCTGGTCATGCTTGGGGAGGTCGAGGGCTTCCTCGTCAGTCCCTGGTCATGCTTGGGGAGGTCGAGGGCTCTCTCCTCAGTCCCTGGTCATGCTTGGGGAGGTCGAGGGCTCCCTCCTCAGTCCCTGGTCATGCTTGGGGAGGTCGAGGGCTCCCTCCTCAGTCCCTGGTCATGCTTGGGGAGGTCGAGGGCTCCCTCCTCAGTCCCTGGTCATGCTTGGGGAGGTCGAGGGCTTCCTCGTCAGTCCCTGGTCATGCTTGGGGAGGTCGAGGGCTCCGTCCTCAGTCCCTGGTCATGCTTGGGGAGGTCGAGGGCTCCCTCCTCAGACCTTGTCATATGTAACATACACGCGGACATCAATTTTAAATCTAAAAGTGCAACGTATTGGAGAGTAAGGTAAACACAGCTGGAGGGAGATCTGTTGTTATCGGTCCGTCACACTCCGCCCACACTCCCCCGACCTGTAAACAATTCCCTGTCCCATCCACACTCACCTGTCTTGCCCACACTTCTCTGCCCCGCCCACACTCACCTGTCTTGCCCACACTTCTCTGCCCCGCCGAGAAGAAATTGTTAAAAAGTTAAAAAAAATTGTTAAATTTAATAAAACAATTTAAAAGTTATTTTAACACCTGCGATACACGTGACAGTCTTTGTACACGTAATAAGCCAAAATGAAATAAAAACATGAACACTAATTTCAACTTAGTAACCTAGACACTGACATAAACAAAAATATAAAAAGTACAGTGCTACAAGATACAATACCCAACACCATAACTCTTAATGAGTTGCCTTAGCAATGTTATCATGTGTCATGCTGCAACCCATCCTCCGAATTGACAGTACGTTTTAATATTAAGTGTAAATAAGTACAATTCCTGACTGTCATACATAGTACATAATTGCACTTATGAGGCTGTTACATTTACTCCCCATTTTTGGAGGACGGGCTGCATCAGGAGCTAGATGTTAACCCAGCAGAGCGCCTGAGCCTAATGACAAGACCGGCTGGTTTCTGCCAGACGTCGACTAGCTTGCCGCCTTCTGGAGGGCAGGTGGCATGATTGACACTTGCTTAACTAAACGAACTATGTGCTTCAGGTCCTGGACCCATTGTGTACCTCTGTAACCCTTTCCACCACTGCCCCACGGGATGAGTATGGGGTACATAATAAATAAAGGAATCTGAAATATATATATATGTTTTGGACGAGGTGTGTAACGTCATAATATTCAAGTCCATCCTCCTAAAATGAAAGTACTTGAAGTAATTACAAGTATGTGGTGGAAAGTACAAATATGTCATGATGGACCACCAGAAAGTAGACCTGTTGTATTGAATTTGGACGAACTGGAAGTTGTTATTTATACAGTCTAACCATCCTAGGTCTAATACACGCTATCTGGGGCCTAATATAGCACTAATATATGTGCTATACTAGGCCTAGGAATATTTAAGTTTGCTGGCTTACTAGAGGCTCCATTATTACATATTGGTACGACTGATCACATAAGTTACAAAAGTTACCACCAAAAGAGGAGGATGAGTTGTATGTTGTTTAAGATTCGCTACTTGGAACAAAAAGTTCCAAGTAGCACGGGCTATGGTGAGCCCGTAGATGAGTTGTAATATCACCGCACTACAGGTGTTCGAACTTACTGGCAATGAGAAGGTCGACGTGACGTCACCTGTGTCGGTCACGGGAAGTGAGTGCCAGACAAAGTGCCAAGAGCAACTTACCTCAACGTCCCGTCGCTTACTTTAAGACACTTAGGGGTCATAAGGTGCACCACAAGCAAACAGAATGCTGACAAGGAGCACTATATACACACACATTATTCATATGTATTGGGAGGTTCATTATCCATAATTCAGGACAAGTAGATAGGGAGATCTTATTCCCACAACCATTGAGGATTATCAGGATGTCGGTACCAAAAAGATTGTCGATGCGTCTCCCGCCCATTTTCCCTGAAAGGTCCTTGAAAGGTTCGTGGATCCGTTTACAGTTTAACACGGTCGACTCTCTTGTCATTGGTTAAAAGTTATGACCCAAACATCCGGAGTGCGGGAGTGATTGATCACACATTGTCCACTCAACTTTAAATAGGTTCTAACACCTCTGGTAGCGGCTAATGTATTAGGTGGTGATATTTATAGATGAGGCTATAGGTTTAGACGCGCAGTGACGAGACGAGTGTTACCGTATTGTCCGTAAATAAACTAGTACAACACTACAGGCTTAGCTAAATAAACAAGTTACTACAACACACAAACAGTGGTTTGAACAAACTATTACAACACTCACTTACGGAGTGGTATGAGCAAATTGCAAGAGAGTTTTTGCATTGTGTTCAAAACGATCAGTAAACAAACTTTCACCATATTATTACGTAAACATTTTCTTTGTTGGATTCTTCTTCGTCTTGCCGCTTTGAAAAGCAAAAAAGATTAACCCTTGGCGTATCGCCATCCCATGCGGCATTCCTCCCCGTGTTTATACCTTAGGCTGTTTTGTTTCCTGTGTCTTCAGAGGCTACGCCTGCTACCATTTTCTGCAAGCCTCTCTCGCTTCTTTTTCCTTTCGAGCATCTGATTTGCATTTCTAAATTTCTACCCTTTTTACAGCTGTTTCTACACAGTTCAAATAAAACGAATATCAACAGCTATGAATTCAATGTTGGTCAACACAGGAATTGCTTTTAGAAATCTAAATTATCATTCACATATACCAGGTACACGATAAATTTCTGTGTGGTTTGATTGAGGGTGTAAGGGTGTGTAGCGAGTGAATTATCCCAATAATATACTCGCTACAGAGGGAATATACTTTCATTCCCTGGGAGGGGCAGTTCTGTAGCGAGTATATTATTGGGATAATCCACTCGCTACAGGTGTGAACACCATTACCCACATGCCTGAGTGTAGGCGGGCCAACAGTGAAAATCATGGTTGGGCCTCCAGAATCTCCCAGTGAATTCAGTAAAGTTCCACGTTGGTTGGCTTTTTGCCCTACCGTGACCGAGCGGGTTAAAGCAGGCGTCTGGGAAACACCAATTCTTCACACCATTGCCTGTGTTCCCTTGTGCGAGTACCACTCATAAAACAGTATGTCCTGATTGATTGATAAAGATTAAGCCACCCAAAAGGTGGCACGGGCATAAATAGCCCGTGAGTGGTGGCCCTTTTGAGTCATTACCAGTATCAAGAGCTGATACTGGAGATCTGTGGAGGTGCGACTGCACCCTGCGTGACGGGAGATGTCTCCCGTGAGTATGTCCTATTCTGTTCTTTCAGTTATACTGTGTGGGTCGGCCAGAGGCTCCGAGCCCATGCAAGAATATTCCTGCAAACAAACAAAATTAGAATTTTGTACGTGGTAATCATATCTCCCTAAGCTTTTCTATCTTCCAGTGACGCGAGGTTTAATTTCTGTTCGCAGTTACTTATACTGATGTGAGAGGTACGAACTCCAGTTTCTGGGCTCCGCCTGTTGATGAACTGACTGTTGAAAGCTACCAAACACCATCAACAGAAGGGTTCCAGAAGTTGTACAATTTTATTTCTTCAAAACACCGACCATACACCAACTTTAGATAGAAACTTACACGAGATGGAAATTATGGCTAATGACAATTTCATTTATTGCTTTTACATTGCCACTATTGTCCTCGGCGCATGTCTGGAGAGGTTTAACATCAGTGACTTAAGCAGACGAGGAGTCACAATAACGTGGCTGAAATGTGTTGACCAGACCACACACTAGAAAGTGAGGGGACGACGACGTTTCGGTCCGTCCTGGACCATTCACACAATCGACTTGAGAATGGTCCAGGACGGACCGAAACGTCGTCGTCCCTTCACTTTTTAGTGTATGGTTTGGTCAACATCAGTGACTTAAATTTGACACAGACAACATTAGGAAAATAAATCAAATAAAAGCACATCATATACTTATATACAGTCGTAATCACAAACGCTTGTAAATATATGTAAACACTTGTAAACACATACCGTACTTATATTTGTATTGACACATTCACTTATACAAAGATTTCTAAACACATACAGACACTTGTACAAACGCATTCACACAAACAAAGGCACCTGTATAAACGCATACATATGCATACAGACGCTTATACAACGCCTGCTATGCAGTAGGCTTCTTCACCTATGCTCCTCCTCGTGCGTGTTGGGCCAGATTCACGAAAACACTTACGAACCTGTACATCTTTTCTCAATCTTTGGAGGCTTTGTTTACAATTATTAAACAGTTAATGAGCTCCGAAGCACCAGGAGGCTGTTTATAACAATAACAACAGTTGATTGGGAATTTTTCATGCTTGTAAATTGTTTAATAAATGTTATCAAAGCCGTCAAAGACTGAGGAAAGATGTACACGTTCGTAAGTGCTTGCGTAAGTGCTTTCGTGAATCTGGCCCCTTGTCTTCCCGGTACAGCCTCCGTTACTTGACTTGAGAAATATATTCGTGTTAGTTTTTATTAGTTCCCCCTCAACATTCTCTGACCTGTAACAATAGAGTGTTTGTTTCCATTCTACAGCCTGCGGGACTCGGACCTGCCGGTGAACTGCACGGTGGAGGACCAGCCTGACCTGCGCTTCCTGCGGTGGGCGGTCTACCAGGTGGTGTTCCCTGTCCTGGTGTCTCTGGGGGTCGTCGCCAACCTCCTCAACCTCGTCGTGCTCTCCAGGCCTTCCATGAGAGGTGTCGCCTACAGGTGCGTCATAATGGTCCTCTGTGTGGTCCGTAAAATGCGCTTGGTTCCTATACACGGTGGGCTACATCCAGTACTGGCATGGGTTCTGTAGGGTGCGCCGTGGATGGTCACGTTCATTTGGTGGTCCATGGTAGGCTGGGTCTCACAGGTAGGCCACGGTGGGCCACGTCTTTTAAGCGAACCACAGTAGGGTGTCATGTAGGTCGACCACGATGGGCTAGGTCGACTAGGAGGGGCCAAGGGGACCTGGGGCCAGATTCACGAAAGTACTTACGCAAGCACTTGCGAACGTGTACATCTTTCCCCAATCTTTGACGGCTTTGGTTACATATATTAAACAGTTTACAAGCAAGAAAACTTCCCATTCAGCTGTTGTTATTGTTATAAACAGCCTCCTGGTGCTTCGGAGCCCATAAACTGTTTAATAATTGGAAACAAAGCCGCCAAAGATTGAGAAAAGATGTACAGGTTCGTAAGTGCTTAATTTCGTGAATCTGACCCCTGGGTCTTTTGTGTGGCTCAAGGTGCGATAGGTCGTATAGAATTGCCCATAACACCTATATGGGCAATTCTTATACCATGACAACCTATAATGGTATGAACCATGGTATAAGAATTGCAACCTATATGGTTACAATTCTTATACCATGTCGTAGCTCAGTCGATTAAGGCAGCGTCTGGGATCCTCTCGGACGTAGGTTCGAATCCTCGTCACGGCCCTTGTGGATTTGTTCATGCCCATAAAGTCTTGGATCCTGAATGTGTACTATAGTAGGCTCAGCCCCGAATGTGTACTATAGTAGGCTCAGCCCCGAGTGTGTACTACAGTAGGCTCAGCCCTGAGTGTGTACTACAGTAGGCTCAGCCCCGAATGTGTACTATAGTAGGCTCAGCCCCGAGTGTGTACTACAGTAGGCTCAGCCCCGAATGTGTACTATAGTAGGCTCAGCCCCGAGTGTGTACTACAGTAGGCTCAGCCCCGAGTGTGTACTACAGTAGGCTCAGCCCCGAATGTGTACTATAGTAGGCTCAGCCCCGAGTGTGTACTACAGTAGGCTCAGCCCCGAGTGTGTACTACAGTAGGCTCAGCCCCGAGTGTGTACTACAGTAGGCTCAGCCCCGAGTGTGTACTACAGTAGGCTCAGCCCCGAGTGTGTACTACAGTGAGCTCAGTCCTGAAGGTTGACAATGGTGAACTAGGTTCAGTATGGAAGTACTAGACGCCACTCCTAACTGTTCGCCTCCATTCACCCAGCAGCAATCACGTACCTGGTCGTTAAAAGATTGGTGGGGTCGTATTCCAGGAAAACTAGTGATTAAAGCTAAGGCTTAATACCATGATCTATAGGATGGGAAAGCTCTCAGCTTGCTAACAGGAGTTCGCAGTCATTTGTTTCTGTACCCACCTGTGTAACAAAAGACGATAATAATAGTCCTGTAAGGGAGCCTTGGTGGCTAGATCCAGCAGAAGCAGAAACGCCTGTCTCGTGTCCCTTCAAGGAACTCGGTTCACAGCCCAGCTGACTACCGCTGCTGCTCTTAACTGCACACTAGGAACCACCTTATATTAGCCGCTTGTCAGACCGTGAGACCTAATTCCAAAAAAAAGGAAGGCCAATATTGTTTCGAGGCGTCCAAATTTAGATGTATTATTTTACACGAGCACTGCAATTTTGGACGCTGATGCGTCAAAATTATGGAACTTTCATTGTGAGAATGGGTTGCTTGGTCCTGTGCAGTGACCTGGTGGGATGGAGCCTATTGGTGAACCACGGTGAGTTGGGTTCTCTTCGTCGGTTATTTTGGACAGGGGTCTAATAGGTGGGTCACGATGGGTTGGAACCTAAAGATGGGCCACGATGGGCTGGGACCTCTTTATGAACTTGTTGTTGTACTTGATATTTACCTATTCATGTATCTCGACCTCTTTGTGAGCTATAATGGGCTGGGACCTTCAGGTGGGCCATGAATGTCTAGGTCAAGGTTCATCAGTGTCCTCTAGGTGGACCATGAATGGCTGGGACCTCTCGAGGACCCATGAGGGCCTGGCTCTTGAAGTTAAACTGGACCATCGTAGGATTGGCCATGTCGAACGCATCACATGTTTACCGATAACATAAATAACAGAGAGTAAATGTTCAGCATCACCTCATATTAAGATTTAGCTTTACACTCTCATCATATCAACACTATAATGTTTATCTACCATCTTCATAAACTAATATTTTCAGCGTTGAACGGTACGCAGCTGCTCTCCGTCGTTTCGAAAAAGTGCAGCGCTTTTTGAGGAACTGTAACTTGAAAATCGTCTAAAATGTGAACGATAATCACAGTGGCCCCAAACTTAACCTAACCCAAGCACAGTGACCCTAACCTAACCATAACTTATCATGAGGATTGTAAATATTTACACAAAGGCGCATGAGGCGCTATGATATTTGGGTACAGTATGAATTAGGATAACGATTGATTGATTGATGAAGATTAAGCCACCCAAAAGGTGGCACGGGCATGAATAGCCCGTAAGTGGTGGCCCTTTTGAGCCATTACCAGTATCAATAGATGATACTGGAGATCTGTGGAGGTGCGGCTGCACCCTGCGTGACGGGAGATGTCTCCCGTGTTAGGATAACGTAACCGGCATTTATTTATCAACGCAATAATAATTGTTCCCGTATTCAAGCAACGCAGTTCCCTTTGTTTACAAATGACTAATCGCCTGTATCTAACCTATCCAGAATCCTTTAGTTCATAAAAAATTCATAATTCAGACGAATCTACTAAAAGAAATTTTAGCCAAAAAATAATTAATAATTCATTGTGTCGGGGACAGGCAGCCAGTATATACGTTTATATATAGGTTCCCCCCCCCCCACCCCCCAAGGTCGAATTACTAACTCTCCCCAGGATGCAACCCCACAAAAAGCTGACTAACTCCTGGATATACATTTACTGCTAGATGGACAGGGGCATTAGGTTTATAGGAAAAGCACCCAATCAGTTCTATGCCGCCCGGAATTCGAACCCGGAATTTACGATTGTGAGTCGAGAACGAACCCCACTGTACTACCGGGACCCCTAAGTATCCCTAGTTTGCTAACTTTAGGTAGTAAATGTGGGTGATTGTAACTTTCCGGCCGCTCCCTATTGAAATTGAAATTGAAATTGAAATAAGTTTATTGAGGTAAAATACACACAAAGGGATGAGGTAGCTCAAACTATTCTCACCTCGTTCAGTACATCGTGTTAATACATACATAAACACACATCGCAAGCAATAAACATATTACCAAACATTCTGAGAGATAAACATTTACATTTTACAGCTCTAACATGATGATAGCTCTAACATGATGATAGCTCTAACATGATGATAGCTCTAACATGATGATAGCTCTAACATGATGATAGCTCTAACATCATTAACATCTACAGCTCCCCATTGGCTTGGGGTGGGGGAGGTGGAGTACATAATAAAGAAATTAGGTTATGAAACTAGCTCACCGCAAATGTAAGTTGCCTAGCTTAAGCGACTGAACTTGTGATCGTTCTCGAACCCATTGACGATATAGACATTAAACTATGTAACTAGCCTATCAAGACTGTTGTACCTTGCTTATCTAAATGAATTTTGGGGTTCAGTTCCTGACCCCATTATGTGCCTCTATAACCGTTCTTTTCCCACTAGCACAACTGAATGGTTATGGGGTTTAAATATTAAATATCATATGAAATATCCATTTATTTAATCCATTTGAATTAAATGAATAATTAAGCAGTCTCCGTGGTGTAGTGGTAAGATACTCGCCTGGCGTTCCGCGAGCGCTATGTCATGGGTTCGTATCCTGGCCGGGGAGGATTTACTGGGCGCAATTCCTTAACTGTAGCCTCTGTTTAACGCAACAGTAAAATGTATACTTGGATGAAAAAAACGATTCTTCGCGGCAGGGGATCGTATTCCAGGGACCATAGGATTAAGGACTTGCCCGAAACGCTACGCGTACTAGTGGCTGTACAAGAATGTAACAACTCTTGTATATATCTCTCAAATGGAATGAACTTCAAACTTCTCAAGTTACTCACCAAAAAGATATACGTTTTCTAATATGACATTCCACAACGGCCACCAGCATAATCTCTAGGGGTAACTCATGTCACCGTATACCCATACAGTTTAGTCGCTTCAGATTAATCTTTTGAGTTTTCACCGGTCTTCTGTAAAGGAGGAAATGTATATGTTTATCTCTCAGAATGTTTGGTAATATGTTTATTGTTTGTGATGTGTTTATATGTATGTATTAACACGATGTACTGAACGGGGTAAGAATAGCTTGAGCTACCTCATCCCTTTGTGTGTATTTTACCTCAATAAACTTATTTCAATTTCAATTTCACCGGTGTAACGAACATCCTTAGAGTCAATTTATCTAAGGCATATTAAATGTATACACCTTTAATTTGGTAAAAAAAAAAATACTGCATTTAAGCTTCCGCAATGGCTTAAGTGTTCCACCACAAGTTGGTGGAATTTAAATTCAAATTCAAATTTCAAATTCTTTATTCAGGAAAAGTACATATTTTTTTTTTTTTTTTTTTTTTGAGATATATACAAGAGTTGTTACATTCTTGTACAGCCACTAGTAATCGTAGCGTTTCGGGCAGGTCCCTGGAATACGATCCCCTGCCGCGAAGAATCGTTTTTTCATCCAAGTACACATTTTACTGTTGCGTTAAACAGAGGCTACAGTTAAGGAATTGCGCCCAGTAAATCCTCCCCGGCCAGGATACGAACCCATGACATAGCGCTCGCGGAACGCCAGGCGAGTGTCTTACCACTACACCACGGAGACTGTAGTTGGAGACATACATAGTTGATTTACAAACATAAACTTGGATTATGTTATAGAGCTAGTACATACAATACCTAAAGCCACTAATACGCATAGCGTTTCGGGCAACATCAAACAAAAGCCGGTGAATCAATTTCTAATTTGACTAAGTGAAATAATGAAAATTTTTGAATTTGTGTTGTTACTATATGCACATCAACAGAGAAGGCTGTTTTGTAATTAGTCCCCGTGACGAAGTGGTAACACATTCGCCTGGCGTTTCGCGAGCGTTTTGGCCTGGGTTCGTATCCTGGCCGGGGAGGATTAACTGGGAGTCAGTCCTTAACTGTAGCCTCTGTTCACCCAGCAGTTAATGGGTATTTGGTTGTTAAACGATTTGGCGGGTCGTATTCCGGGTAAAATTAAGATTAAGGACTTGCCCGAAACGCTATGCGTGCTAATGGCTGTACAAGAATGTAAGAACCATATATTAATGATGATAACAGAGTACATTTCAGTTGGATTCCATCTTTTGTTGGCCTTCGAATGCATGATAGAGCTGATGAGTTAGCCAAAGAATCTGCCTTCATATAATGAGCTGATGAGTTAGCCAAAGAATCTGCCTTCATATTATGACCTGATGAGTTAGCCAAAGAATCTGCCTTCATATTATGAGCTGATGAGTTAGCGAAAGAATCTGCCTTCATATTATGAGCTGATGAGTTAGCCAAAGAATCTGCCTTCATATAATGAACTGATGAGTTAGCCAAAGAATCTGTCATGTCATATCATGCAGGTATGTTTTTTGGTGTCTTATATGTGATGAGTTACGGTATGATGTGTACCATACAAGCGTGTCGCCGACCTGAGTATAACCTAAGTGTGTCCCCCCACAGGTACCTGAACCATCTGGCAGTCAGTGACCTGCTGTACCTGTTGTTCAACGTGCCCTTCTGCATGAACGACTTCGCCCGGATCTCGGAGATGCAGGTGGTGTCCGCAGCTAGCGCCGTGTACTACGCCAATGTGGGCATTCCCTTGGTGAACCTCTTCCTCACCATGAGCGAGTACATCGTCGTGTGGCTCTCCTACGACCGATGCCTTGCCGTTTGCAGCCCGCAGAAGTTCTCGGCCAAACAGAGAATGGAGGTGGTGAGAATACGGTGCGGCATGTCGCTCCTGCTGACCATGTTCGTCTACAGTCTCAGTCCCCTTCGGCAGACGTACAACTGCGACGACGACGGGTGCTGCGTCAGCGAGAGCTTCTACAGCGAAGAACCCTGGTATATGGGTTACGAGTTCTTCAGGGAAATCTACTCCAGGTTCTTACCTGCCGTACTCATAACGTCCTTCAATGTGGCCATCGTGGTGACGCTGAAACAAATCAAGCGCGAGCGAGACTGTGATATCATAAATGAGGCGAGGCAGGAGAGAGAACGACGGCTCTTTTTCCTGCTGATGGCCATCACAGTCTTCTTCTATGTCTCTGCCTTTCCCAGCGCCATCTATAAAGTTATAATGTTTAACGATATGACCTTCGTCCCGTACTTTAGAGCCGTGGCCGATGTCTTAGAAGTTTCAGGCCACGTTTTCAATTTCGTTTTGTACTTCTTATTCAGTCCCGATTATCGCAAAGCGCTAGTGGACATGACTTCCGCCGGGCAGCAAAACAATAATATTGCTCTGTCTTCTACAGCTATTCCTCTATGAATCAATAGACCGTTATTAAATATATGTAAAATTTTGTGGATGAAATATTTTTTAAATGTAAATAATATTACACATATATTCTTATATTACGCGCCTTACCAATAGTGTTATTAGCGGATGACAAAATTGAAGTATTGTTAGAGCGACTAGGCGCTCTCTTTAAGAGGCACAAAGATGTTTGATAACGATAATACAAATAAACACATCAATTCCCCGAGCATTCCATTGAATTTTATATACTCGAGTGCATAGCAAGGTGAAGTTTGCATGGCTGATTAGCAGCTCTTGAAGGATATGGAACTGGTGGCTATACCTTGTGGAAACTTTCATGTCAAATTCAAATTCTTTTCACTTGCAATTTTTTAAACAGAAAATCGAAGTACGTTTGCAAGATCATAGGCGGAGTACCATTGGTGTATACTGACTGAAGAGATGTCAATGTTTAACATTCCAGACATCATGTTATCAGTATAAATACTAAACACCAGGGGCAAGATTCACGAAAGCACATACGCAAGCACTTACGAACCTGTACATCTTTTCTCAATCTTTGGCGACTTTGTTTACAATTATTAAACAGTTAATGAGCTCCGAAGCACCAGGAGGCTGTTTATAACAATAACAACAGTTGAATGGGAAGTTTTCATGCTTGTAAACTGTTTAATAAATGTAACCAAAGTCGTCAAAGATTGAGGAAAGATGTACACGTTCGTAAGTGCTTGCGTAAGTGCTTTCGTGAATCTGGCCCCAGAGCCAGACTATGTATGCTGCTGCCAGCAAGCGC